TGATGAGAACTGATATTCAGATGTTTGAAATAAAGAGGTTTACTGACTCGATTCATGTCGTCTGAATGTGTGTATGCGGCAAACAGAGTCGTTTAGTTTTGTTCTTATGGTTTCACTTCATTCAAGCAAATGAAATACTTAACAACTATTTGAAGAATGAGAATTGCTTCTTCAGCTGCAAATGATGTTTGCGTTCTTTGAATCTTAACCCAGCTTGACGGCGAGCAGTAATAATTTGCACGTCAGAGAAAATGCCCTCTTTTCAATTTATTCCTTCAAATTTGTTCAAGACTTCTCAATTGCGAGGTTTAGTCGTCTGTCGTCGTAACATGATGCTTGAAAATCAATCTAGCGTAATGCTCATAGTTCGTACAGCCAGACGAACAACGCAAGGAGAAAATCTCTTGAACCGAGACGGCATAATGAGTAGCTTGATTCAGTGTATACACGAAAGTACTGTTACTTAATCATTTTTTATTTCTTTAGATTTGAAAGATTTCAAGATCTTATGAAGCGAGAAGATTCAAGAAATGATGATGCCAGAGGACTCGAGAAATCTGTTGACTGAAATAAAGCTTATCAAAATTCACTTTTCTTCTGATTAGGAAAGAAGTCGCGAATAGCCGAGCGGTGTTTGCGGGGAAATTCTGTATAATAAGTTCGCGCTTTTAAAAGGGCCAACTGTATTTTGAAACAAAAAGTCTTTTGGCGAGAAATTCTTCCTTTTAGTAGAATAACTGTGAAACTAAAAATGTTTGCAAAAAATTCTAAGTCTTTTGGCGGGAAAATTGTCCATGGAAAAAAAAAGTCTGTGCCTTTGAATTGTGTCTAGTTTCGATCGAAAAATATACTAAGTCTTTTGGCGGGAAAAATCTTGCTCCATGCTAGAAATTTCCTCCCATCAAAATTCGAGTATATTTTTTGTTAGAATACTAGATGCTGTTCAAATCCGCAGAATTTTTTTTCCTCTTGGCAACCCTCCATACGCAAAAAAAAGTAAAAGAGATAGCCTATATTTTGACTAGTTACCAGGCCCTTTTAAAAGCGCAACTCTTTTTTTTTATTATTTGTACTCGGAAAAGACAATAAAAAGACAAGACAAAATAACGGAAATGAAGTTTTTATTTGTTTTTCTTTTCATTTAATACAATTCTTTATTAATTAAAATTGTTTCTCTTGGATTATAACAAAATATTAGGTCTAACTCATGAATATAACTAATTATAAGTTGAAAAGGTTTACAAAATCAAATGGCAAAAATAGCTTAAGTATAATAATGGCATATCAAACTATTACATGCTGGAACATTCCGACCAACTTACTGAAGCAAAATAAAAATATGACTGAAAGAGAATTTACCAAATCGCGACAATAGCATAGAGAATTAATGAATAGTCGAATTTCGTAGTGGATAGTTTCAAAATAAATATTCCATCCCGAAATTTAAAACTAGCGACATGCAGTTGCTGTTGAAAGAAAGTAGTTCCAGCCAAAATGATTTCAACTTACTCGAACATTGAAAAGAAAATCACTGCCATCGGCATAAAAATCAATTTGATCAAAATAAATGTTATGATGAGATTAAAAAGTTTCATACCGGCAGGAATTTACGTTGTAGCGTTCTTCAAAGAACAGCTTTTCAAGCAATCTTTGGTTGTGTCCTTCCCTACATCTTGCTTAATTTTTTTTGTTGTGTTTTCGATCCTGCTAAATTTTATTTGATGAAAATTAGCATTTAAAATCCTTGAAGTTTTCACTACACTTGTGATGTGATACGAATTTTTGAGCAGTCACTTGGATTTTTAACATTTGAAGAGATCAACTGTGTTTGTTTACCTTGCCAAATTACTTCCATTCGCATTTGAGCTTCTTCTCAAATGGTCTTAACTTGAAATGAGATAGAAATCTTGCCCATCACCAGAAAATTAATACTTGACTTTCAGAGCTCTGTTTTTGTTCTCAAAGAAATTATCTATTTTCTTTTTTCAGGAACTAGCGTAACCAAATTCGTTCTTCGGGAAACGTAGTCAGTAGGATTAGATTACAGTTTGTTACCTTAAATATTGATTCACAACTGTCTTTCTCCCATAACTAAGTTTCATTTTCTTCAGCTCCATCCTGTCTTGGCTTTCAAAGCTTGTGGTCCAGGTAAAGAAGGCGTGTCACATGATCACATGGACATCAGAGGACTGCAATATAATACAAACAAACGTCTTAAAATTCGACGATATTAAACTGGTTATAACAAATAAAATTGATGAAAATGATAAAGCGTTGTAAATAAAGGTATTTCGCTTCGCCTCTCTCATATAAATTTGTTGTCATGTCTAAACTTAATGATCATGATCATCGCAAGGCGAATTTTTCATCCTAAACTCAACTGCAAGTTGGTCCTTTTTATTCCATTGATCACAATTCATTACACATGCAGCTCTGATAAATGTAAAGGTCTTATACTTCTTTCTCCGAATAAATTGTTTCAGGTTGACTCAAATGTAGTTTTTGCAGTTCAATAGCACATTGACATAAATCCAGCAACTGGGTTACGTTTTCTAGAACCATTTCGTTTTCAACAAATATTAAGGCAAGTGAAGCCGTCAAGGAAGATTTCCGTATAACTCCATACTATTCCAAAACAAAGCATCGATCACACAAGTAATCTGCAATTTGTGTCATTGTCTTCTTCTATCAAAGAACTGTATGTGTAATGAAGCATGGGTTTATAAAGTATTTAAGTATTATAAAATATGGGTTTTTATTAAACCCAACAAATCGTCACTGTCTTCGGGTTACACTTTATGACCGTATCTCTTCACGACAGTACTTGTGATTTAGATCTCGAACTGTAAATCTCATTAAAGTAGGCAAGGTCATCATGAAAATTTAAAAAATTCGCTTATTTTGTGGAGCCAAATATCTTGAAATTACACCTGAACAAAGCGACTTACAAATACTCGAAATTTTGGAACAAGAGACCTCTTTAGCTTGTATGTTTTGTTTACCACTGTCAGGTCATGTGATAATTCCCTAGAGAACTGTTTCTTTTAAATTTCCTCTTTTTCACGTGTATATGCACGCATGACTTGCAAAAGATGAAGCTGGAAATTCCCTTGAGGTCTGAGACAAGTAAAGAAAACATACAAGCCAAAGAAGTTTACATGCTTCGTCCCCAGCACTTTCTCAAATACTTTTCAAAACTTTCGATGATTAAAAAAAATTTTTCCGTTAAATATTCTTTCTTGGCTAGTTAAAGCAAAATATAGTTATTCCACATTTTTCAGGTAAAAGGCAATGCCTTTGATAGATAAAACTCTTTTTGCAAAACGCAGAGACAAGTTTGTGCCCATTCCGATCATTCTTTGTTAGCGACAAACCCTTACCCTCAACGATCCTCTGAGGAATTATTTGCATATCATTTCTATTCATTTTTCTTACTGACACAAGCAAACGCGTTACCTAGCTCGACATTGTCTGGCTTTATGCCTGACTGATTAACATGGTTTTGTGCATGTCTTAAGATAGCAGTCACATAAACATGTCATGGACCTATTTAAAATAAAAAATGGATTCTGAAGCTCACCTTCCAGTAATTCTATCCTTTTTTTCTTTCTTTCCATTATTTCTGTCCACTCCCATGCTTGATTTACGATGCCTCATCCATATTACTATAAGGGAAAGATACAACGCCGTTATTTTCCGAGGTTTATGAGACTGTCTTGTACTGTTATAGCTATTCAATTAGGTTATGGAATGTTAAATTAAAAGAGAGCTCGTTCAAATTAGAAAAATAAATAACTAAAAGAACTAAGACATTTTCTACCCACAAACCTCATCTGTTCAAGATATCTTATTTAAATGCCAATTCAGCGATAATCGGTCCTCAAATTTCTTTTACCACAAGTTTGGATTGAATATACCGCAAAGCGACAACGTTCTAACCAGGCTAATGCTCGGGTTGGGTGGACTGATGCAATTTTTCTTTGATACGTTCTCAGATACCTTTTATTGCTATTAAACAAAGCTAAGAGTGTGGAGTTGTTTCTCGCGAACACACGTTCGAAAAATTCTAAACATTAGTTCACAGTTCTCCCTAATTCGTAAGGCGCGTTGTACAGAAGAAGTTAAGCAGCAAAATTCACAGCTATCTCACCTGGTGTTCTGTTTTGAAATGCAAAAACCGTTGGTCCAGGTCAAATCTAAGTCCATGTTTAGAAGGAAGATTTGATTAGCTGGAAGTTCTTTCCTGCGAAACAAAGCTCTTCTTACCACGAGGAACCGTAAAATGGAAATGAGTTGAAATATTTCACGTGCAAATTCAGGCACGCGAAAAAAAATATCTTGGGAACGAGGTTGACGAAAACTTGCATCCAAAGAAGTGCAAATCAATTGCATGATTGTTGTGGCGATAGTTTTTCGTAAAGTCGATTTGCAAGCACGTGAAAGAAAGAGGGGTGAAAGTGCAAGGGGCAGGAACATGAAAAAATATAAAAGTGTACAGAGTTTCCCGGAGGAAGATGGTGCCTTGCGAGGTAAAGATTTTACCTACTCAGGGCTCAGTAAGGATTGAATAAGTGAAGTTGGCCTTAAAGCAAGCGTTCAGCGTAAGAAAGTGAAATTCACGGAGATCAGTTGAAGTTTCGAGTAGAATAACTTAACGGTCTTATTGGCTGAGTGCGAAAAATACATTTATTTGCCCCCAAATAAAAGTTTGTCTCCTACCAGTTTAGTATATTGTTAATATTTAGCTTAGATACTAAGTCAGTGGGGAAAGGCAGAGAGTCCTGAAGGGTAAATACTTAAGGGGACTGATAACTTTGATAACAATGGATTGTTCTTTAAGCAAGAGTCACGAATTTTGATGAAAAAATACATCGTCTCCAGCGATTTACTTCCTCAATGGTTACAAATTTCGCATTGCGGACCTTTATTTTCGGGGATAGACTGGAGGAAACTGGCACTAGTGACGGTACGCCTGTAACATTGGAACTTTTTCATGGAGGGCTCTTCGTTTGCTCGACGTCGTACCACACTGTAAGTCTCATTAATCGATTGCGATCCACAAGCCTGCCGTAAAAATGCCATCAAAGTGCCCCGTTTGCAACAGAGAGGCAGTTGATGTAGAAGAAGGAGGAGAACTAGTTTGTACAGAGTGTGGAGCTGTTGTGGAGGGTAGAGTTTTCAACTTTGATGTTGATCGTCAAAATGGCTACACCGCCATGACAGCTGATGGTACGGCAAAGTTTGATGGACGTTACGATCTACCAAGTACAGTAAGGCAGCGACTACCGACAAGCGACACTTCAGTTTCTAAAAAGCGACTTCAGAAGTTCCTGTATGAGCTTGCAAAGCGCATGAATCTTCCGAACGAAACTGTAAAGGAAGCAAAGGATTTTCTCTTAACTACTGTAACATCAAAAATTAAATCAGGAGAAATTCGACATATAAGTCGTCACAGAGACATTCTTACTGCGAGTTGTCTGTTTATCGTTTGCAGGAGGAATCACATGCAAATAAACTACAGACGTATGGCCGAGATCGCGCAATGTAACATGTTTAGTCTCGGTAAATCGGTGAAAATCATTTTAAAAGCTCTCGATCTTCAATTGGAGCCGATTGGAACTGAGTCTTCGCTAGGATGTGTTCTTGCTCAGTTGGATGTCGAGGATAAGTCTGCTGAGAAGACCTGCTTTGATTTGTTTCACATTTTTAAGTACTTCAGTCTGGTCGGCGAGAGAAATCACTTTGCCTCTGCTATGGCTTTGGTTCTTATTGTACTGGAAGGTAAAAGAATCCCTCCGCGCAAAGAAAAGATTGCAGAAGTGTTAGGCAAAAATTCTGTGACAGACACCCAGCTGAAATCACAATCAAAGAATACCAGAAGGGGTTTAATCGAACTGGCAAAAGATGTACCCTGGATTCCAAAATCACTTAAGACGACTGCCATTGCTAGGCATATTGATGACATTGTTGATTTCCACAAAAACTGTGGAAAGATGGATTTGTCTGCAGTTAAGTCTCTATATATGAAGAGGAAAGAACTTGCACAAAACAATCGTAAGAGAAAGATACAGATGGCTAAAGCACGCATAGACAAGGAAAAAAAGCAACAGCTTTGCAGCTCAAGGGAAGACAGTTCATCTACTACTGATACCCTGGCTGATCTTTCAGGTCCAAGCAGTTCTTTAACTAACCAAAGTAAGGATGGTGGTGTAACAGGGGACCCAGTAACACACAATTTGCATGTTGATGGTGTTGACAGAGGCCAGCAGAGTACTTCTGCAGATGCTCCAGAGTTTAGCATGGACAGTGAGTTGGATGATAATGATACCTTGATAGAAGGCCTGTTGAGGAGTGGCTACTCTGAGGAAGAGTTGATGGATGGTTATTTTGAATCAAGAATGGTTGATCTTCAGGGCAGCTGTGACCCTGAGGGGGAGAGAGAAGATCTGGATGAACTTGATATCAGTGAGTCTGATATGCATCATTATTTGAAGTCTGTTGCTGAAGTGGAACGAATAAGGAATCTTCAGAAAGATGACTCTCATCAAGCAGAAGGACAAAGTCAGTAAAAGACAGGCTGAAATAATCAGTGAAATTATCATTTAAAGACAGTCCTCGCGACTTTCAGTTTATCTATTTATTGTTTAGCAACTAGAATTGACAGACGGTCCTGCCTTAATTTGAGTGCAGGAAATGTTGACATGCCTATTTTGTGTTTCATGTGAAATTCCTTATGTCCTCATGCCCATTTGGCATTTTGCCATGTTACTTGTTATTCTTTTTTCATTAATAAGTACAGGCTGTGGTCTTATTAGTGAAGGGGTTTCAAAATATGTTAGCCACCACTGGAGTTCTATCAGCAACTTTAAAATGTATTGCCAGTTTCTCTGGTCAAAATAATTACCTTTTGGCACTTAATTTACTTTTCATTGTCACCTACTTTTGCTGAGTGAGATGCTTCAAAAAATTTTAAAAAACCCCTGTTAGGGCTGAGTGGCAATTGAAAATAACATGAAATGGTGACTGAAATACTCTGGAGATTTGATGCTTTCTCCTCAAAGAAGTCCAATTTTCAGAGAAGACAATCCCTTGTGTACAATCACATGATTTCTATTGGGACAACAAAACAATCAGATGAACAAGATCTATAATAACCCTTCAATGGGAGTGACCAAGAGAGAATTTCTCCGTACAATATCAATACAATAACAAGCAGAAATGTAATGAGAATAAAGAAAGATATAAATTAGGGACTTATAAGTTGATCCAATACCAAGTTCTCCAAATTAACACCTTGAGAATTGTATGGCAGGCAGCAAGGAAAATTTCTAATGAGATCTTCAGAGTGAAAGGGTTAAATTTTTGTAACATGGACGGAACTTTGTAACAAGCTATACTTGAAACTGCAAGGTTATTTTGAATCATGAATGACCGGAGGAGACTATCCAACTACAGTTAACCCTTTAGCTCCCAGAAGTGATTCACATGTAACTTCTCCCTACAATATTCATCCACCGTCCAGCAAACTGGTATTGAGAGTACTCAATTATATCAGGTAAAAATTGTTATCCTGATCTAACACCAAATTCTTGCAACTAGTTTACAAGGAAATGAGTAGCATCTATAGGGGAGAAGTAACGGTCAGATCCTGGCAGTTAAAGGGTTAAGTGAAACTTTTGCATATAATGCACAGGACTCATTTCACTGGGATATAGAGCCAAGTTTGAATGCAAACGGAAAAGAGCACAATTTGTTCCACAGGCAAACCCCTCCCATACAAGATTTTTGGTAGTTACGGAGGATATAAAATTTACCCAAACTAGGAAGAACAACACAATGGACAAGAAAATATTTTGCTTTATTGCTACAGTGTATTTTCATCATAAAAAGTACATTCTTTCTAACTAAAATACTGACACCTCCCAAGGTTAAATAATTCTATTACTGGAAAACCTATAAATTAAATTATTTTTGTGAAATTTCACGATAACAGCATAATGTGCAATCCATCACCTAAACCATCTTGACCACACCTTTGAATGATTTACTTAGACTGGATATTTTTAATTAAAATTGGAAACCTAGAGTTCAATTCTTGAAAACATAATGTAAGTGATGCCCAAGTAATAGCACAATAACTTCAAATATTAAAGACTTAGAGCTTTAGCTCCATCAGCTGGGCTGGTCACTAAACATGTAGCCTTGTTTCCATAGCCATCCTGGTGAAAAAAAAATATATATATTAACCCTTTAACTCCCATGAGTGACCACCACAGAATTTCTCCCTACCAAATCAATACGGTGTCAAGCAGACATGTGATGAGAATTAAGAAAGATAACAATTAAAAGATTATCAGTTGATCCAAAACCAAATTCTCCAACATACCATCGTAGTAGCCATATGACAGGCATTAAGGAGAATTACAATTGAGATCTTGGAAGTGAAAAGGTTAATGAAACCAAACAAAGATTGGTGCAGGTGCATGCTTTTATCTTCTAGTTTTTGGTTTGGTGCAAGCATATGCATATATCTGCTAGTTTTTCAAAACCAAACAAGTCAAGCTAATGTTTTTTATCTATTTGTTAACAGTGTACTCATTTTACACTCTATCCATTATCAAATCAAGAGCAATTAGTTTAGCCAATCAGATTGCAACATTTGCAATGGAATAATGAAAGATTTATCCTATTTTTGCATGGTTATTGACATGTTTTTATGTAAAATATTATTCAACAGATTATCATAGATCCCATCATTGCCTGAAGCAAAGTGATTGCAAGACTAAAACATTCATTTTTAAAAATGGCCATTTTGCTATGTCATGATGTGTTTCTAACAAAAAAAAAACCAAAAACAAAAAAATGAAAGAAAACGCAGATGATCTATTGGTCCCCAGTCAAAAAAGGTGATTTACATGAACTTTCATTTGCTTCAAAAAGTCAAGACCACCGTCAAACTTTAGACTAAGAAGAACTTAGCATCCACTCCCCAAAAATACACCTGCATTCCAAGCAAACTTTAGAGCCATTAGTGCAGTAAAACTAACCTGAATGTGTTTTATGAGACTGTCAACTGAGGACTTCTTCACCAGAGTAACAGTACACCCACCAAAGCCGCCACCCGTCATACGGGAACCGTACACCCCATCTACCTCCATAGCAAGTTTAACCAGTAGGTCAAGCTCTTCACAGCTAACTTCATAATCATCTCTACAATCAAAACACACAAGAAACATCAATTGTTAATATTTCTGACATGGTATCAAATAATTTAACTGAACACAAGGAAAAATATGGAGATTAAAAAAAAATGAGCACAGTCATTCCACTAAAATTTACTAAGTTTACCAAGTTCAGTCTTTCAAGATGGCTGGATGTAAGCCAGATGTTTTTTGGTTATGTGTGGTTTTGTGGACCATTTTAAGGCTATCTCCTTTGGAATCCATTATCACACCATAATGATGACACAAGTTTAAACAAAAAAGGATTTTTGTAATATGCATAATATCACAGTAAAGAATATTGCCTTCGCAAGAATAAGGCATGTAACCAAGAGCAGATCACCTTCTGAACACATTTAACCAGTAAAAGAACAGGATCTGCTTCACTGTGCCTCTTGCCAAGCCAACCACACAATAAATAAATAAATTTTTAAATTAAGATGTATTTAGTCAAATCTAACACAGTTTGTCTATAATACCGTAATGAGTTGTGACTTTCCACCATCAGTTTTCCAAACTTCTCATAGTCCTCCTTTTCAATGGCTGCCGCAGCTTCAGTAGTTCTTTGAATTTCTCCGATCACATGCCTTGCTCTGCGGAACACAACATCTTCTAGCTTTCCTTTTCTGGCTATAAATTAGAATAACAGTTTGTTCTAGCTCATTTCAAAAGAGTAATTCGTATTACTTCCTAATATATGACTAATCTGGCTCTAGGATTGTACAAGTTTATGTCAGGTGAAGCAGGAAAAGCCATTCAGCTCTCACTTGTGTTACTTTGTTGAATTCTAATTATGGACTTTAACTTAAAATAAAAGAGAAAGAAGAAAAAAAGTTGTATTTTTTGATAAATGGTAATTTTATTGCTCTGAATTGAAGAAAGCGTGAAAAAAATTTCATGAACTATGAATATTTTTTATAGTTGTCTAGCATGTGCTCTTCCTAAGTAAGTAGTCACCTCCTCTTTAGTTTCAAAGATTACTGAGAGCATGCCAAAGGGAAAAAAAAATTAAAAATACTTTTCTATACCAGTTACCTTCCAGTTCAGCCATGGTAGCTTCCCTAAGACTTGGTTTTCCTAATGCTGCTGCTGCTGTTTCACATTGTTTCCTCCTTGTTGGGTACTCACTTCCTGTTAGTTCATGCCGCACATTGGAATTAGTTACTAGAACAACTAAATCAGGGTTTGTCATTGGCACAAGTTTGGCTTCCATAGATCTAAAGAAAAAATGTTCAACTTTCATTGTTGCAATCATTACCATGGCAAAGCCATGAGTTTATCACACAACTGACAAAACTCTGCAAGCACTGCTGCTTGGACAAACTATGCTGGTTTGAGTAATTTAATAATAATATTAATAAGTAACAGCACTGATTATTATAAGCAAGTAAGTATGCCATGGAGGAGAAATGGCCTAGAAAGTAGCTGCAGAAATGAATCACATTCTATGTAACATTAAGTACTCCATTCTAGTCTTGGTCCTTATAAGCCAAAATATCCTTCCAAAATTTATCTCATGAGGGTTTGGGGTGAATGGCACCCTGACCCTCCACCCTTCCACCAGCTATACCCCTAGAGCTATGTCATAATTATATTCCTTTGAATCAAATATCTTACCTACAATCAAGCAGAAGAGCATTGCCTTTCTTTCCCATAACAGAGATAAACTGATCCATTATCCCACATGGCATCTTAGCAAAGTCATGCTCAGCTTTTTGACATGCCAAAGCCTTTGCCTTCAAGTCTTTTTGCTCTTTCCCAGTTAGTTTTTCAAGAAAAGTATAAGTGGCAACTTCGAGAGATGCAGAACTAGACAACCCTCCTCCCAAAGGAACTGAGGTTGCAATCATGGCATCAAAAGTAGGGATTTCTCCTGGAAAGTTAGCAATGACACCCTTGACATAGTTAGCCCAAGATGGCTTGCCAGGAATCAAGGGCTTCTCTGGTGTTGGGGCAGGAAATGAAATCATCAATGGCTCATCTGCACCTTTTGCAATAGTACCTAACTGACAAACATCACTGTCTGACTTTCTTCCAACTATTACTGTCACAAGCTCTAAAGCCTGCAGAAAATACAAAGCAACACAATTTAGTTCACTGCTCAATCAGTTGGTTATTGAGTTAAGTACGTTGCACTCCGAGAAAGGCCATAACAATGTTACTGTGAGGGGTAGGGTTTTAAAAGCCTTTTAGATAGAGTGTACAAATTAAAGAGGTTTAACCAAGCTTGAATATCCTGTGTCATTTCCAAAGAAATCAGTCAACCTCAATAAATTTATAAGGTATTTATAATTCTATCCCTCATCCACTTGAAAAAAAATTCCAAAATGACTTTTCTTCTAAGCACAAACCTAAATAAAAGGCAAAATCTAGAATTTCTGAGGACAGAAATACCAAGATCAGGAAGCTAACTGTCAAAAGACTGCGAGCTTCCAGGTCCGTATACCACATAGCCACTCAATTTACTCTTACTTACCCCTAGAAATCTGCTTGAGAATTCCTCTCTCTCCCCCCCTCCCCTTATTCCCAAATAAAATGCATTAACCAACAACGTAAACTCAAAGACTGTAACTGATTATAACTAGCTACGAAAAAAAAATATGTTAGAAATCACCAAGGAATAGAATTGGATTAAAATAAACATATCATAACACTTATAAAGAACTTGAACATCCAGCTACAAGCTTAAAGATACGTACAGACTTGAAATTTATAGTTTAGTCCGACTAAACCACCACAAGAATTGACGGATACTAAATTTCTTCTTTAAGATGCATCATTTATCAACTGCTCATTCATGGAGAAAATAAAAATAAATCAATAAATAAATAGAATAAAACTAAACCTTAGGAGAATAATTATCCAAGGAGCGCGTCCAACGCCACGACCACACACAGTTATCTAATATTCCCTTACCATTGGAAAAACAAAGCCATCATTGTAGTCTGTATGCTCCCCAATGAGATTAACTCTTCCAGGTGCACAAACAGCAATCGTAGGACTAGCCTGAAATTTTTCTTCGAAAGAAGTTTTCGCTATCTGAAGAACGTCTGCGGACCCCATTGTAAATCAAATTAATTTGTTCTCAGTCTCTCGGTTGTCATATGAGCGTCCATGGTGAGCGTCCATGTGAGCGTCACAAGGCACAAAACTAATAATTTATGACATCAACAAGAATAGAATAGCCTGGATTATTACAATACAGGGATGAAATCTGCTAAAATTGAAATAAATTATAATTAAAGAAAAGACCCTTTACTGAAGTATGAGAGAACACTGACATTTTTCAACCCTAAAAATTCCATAGACCTTTTACCTAAAGAATTCATCACAACTTTTTCAGTACTGGTTCACGAGCAAAATTGAGGAGCCCATTGAAATATAAGCAAAAATGGCGCAGTCAAAGTCATTCTTAGACAAAAGCCTCAGTATATACATCATGGGCTATTTTTTTCTTCAATAATGATGGTTTTTTTCTCGCGTCTCTCAGGCGAACACGAAGCGTGAGTCACGCAAGGGAGCCAAGCTATCACGACGTACCGGAGTGACGCATTAGGAGTGCAAACGCTAACCTCGCCCATTCTTCGGACACTTTTGCGAAAATTAAATTTCCTAGTGGCTGTTTCTACTACTCGTTTTTGTCTTACCTTCTCAACTTTTCAAGTGAGCAAGGTACATTTGGTAGAAATAAATAACTAAGAAAGTTTACACTTGTTCGCTCTCAAAGCAACCCAAATGAGACACTGGGAAAACTTCTGGGTGGAGCATTGACCGAATTAAAGGGGCCACAGTATTTGTTTCTCCTTTCGTTAAATCCTGTTTCAGAAATTTCAAGGTGAATTGCAAGAGGGGAATTTGAAATATCTGGGCTAAACTCTTCAAAAAAAAAAAAATAATAATAATAACTGAAAGCG